GACTTGAAGTTATACTACAAAGCAACAGTAGTAAAATCAACATGGTATTGGAATCAAAACAGAGCTGAAGATCAGTGGAATAGATTAGAAGATACAACCACAACTACGAACACACTCAACCACCTTATTTTTGATAAAGGAGCCAAGCAGGTTCACTGGAAGAACGACAGTCTCTTTAATAAATGGTGCTGGAAAAACTGGCTCTCCATTTGCCGAAAACTAAAGCTAGACCCATGTCTATCACCATGTACTAAATTAAAATCTAAATGGGTCAAAGATCTGAATATTAAAACAGAAACACTAAATCTATTGGAAGACAAAATAGGTAGAAACCTTGGAGACATAGGAGTAGGTAAAGAATTCATGAACAGGACTCAAACCACACGGGAAATACTTCCCAGAATCAATAACTGGGACCACTTCTTATTAAAAAGTTTCTGCATGTCAAAAGAAATCTCCAGCACAGTGAAAAGAAAACCCACAAACTGGGAAAAGATTTTAGTGAACTCTCTCTCAGACAAGGGCCTCTTGTCTAAAACATACAAAGAATTAAAGAAACTCAGACCTCCGAAATTCAAAGATCCAATCCAAAAATGGGCATCTGAGATGAATATGCAATTCTCAGATGAAGAAATGCAAATGGCAAATAAATACATGAAAAAATGCTCATCATCATTGGTCATTAGAGAAATGCAAATTAAAACCACACTGAGATACCATCTCACTCCTGAAAGAATGGCCAGGATCAAGAAAACCGACAACAAATGCTGGAGAGGCTGTGGGGAAAAAGGAACTCTCCTGCACTGCTGGTGGGAGTGTAGACTGGTACAGCCTTTGTGGAGATCTGTCTGGAGATTTCTCAAAAAGTTGGGACTGGAAATCCCATTTATTCCAGCTATTCCACTTCTAGGCATATTCCCAGAAGAACTGAAAGCATCATACCACAGTGATATATGTGCACCTATGTTTATAGCAGCACAATTTGTAATCGCCAGATCTTGGAAACAACCCAAGTGCCCATCAACTGAGGAATGGATAAAAAAGTTGTGGTATTTCTATACAATGGAGTATTATTCAGCTATAAAGAAGGATCACATTGAGATATTTATCAATAAATGGGCGCAGCTTGAGACCATACTCATAAGTGAAATAAATCAATCTCACATATGTGAATACCAAATAGTTTCCCTAATGTAAGTAATGATTCAAATATATAAAAATATGTGGTAATCATGATTCCCCATTAGGTGGCCTTGAAGCCTTATAAAGTTTTCACTCATTAATTAGAAAGGCTTTATTCTGGGCTTCTTGATATGAAAATATTTGAAGCTAGAGTATATGAAGTTTTACCCAAATATTTCAAGGAAAAAGACACTATGGTAACTACTATTAAGTCAGGTTATAAGGTGGTGAAGTACTAGGTTATTGAAACAGTCATGCTGTGACCTCTATTGTTATATTGTTATGTCCTGTTTTATCTCAATCTCCCCCTTATTGTTTCAAAAAAAATTATTTAGTCATTTCTTATGTTTGTCTTAATTAAAGAAAAAATTCAAAAAAATTAGGATATATAAATAGTAACTCTTTTCGATTTCCTATTAACTTGTTTTGAAGTCCTGTAGTACTCCCACGATCTTGTTTTAACTGATTAGACTCTGTTCCATTCTATATGATAGTATCAAGTTTGAAGACATAGGCAACTACTTTGAAGACAATAAGATTCACTAAGATACCCATTCTGGTTTGACTATTGTCTTCTTTGGAAGTCCTGTAATGTTTACAATGCCTAAGTTTTATTGGTCTTGTTCTCTACTGTTTTGTCCAACTTTATAATATCTAATAAGATAGACAATTCTTTTTAAGGAAACAAGGGACAACGTTGATAACCATTGTTGATAAACTTGTACTCTGTTCTACACCATGTGCTATGTCTATCCTTGGTATTGACTGACAGCTTTGTTTTGCCATATTTGACTGTATTCTTCCCCCCCAAAGAAAGTAATAAGCACTAAGGAGTAATAAAATCCAAGATGTGTAAATTTTGTAAAAAAGAGAGGGAGAAAAAAAAAAGAAAAAGAGCTCTAACGGATATAACAGCAAGTGTGTTTGGGGGTGTTAAATAGCTGACTTTATCAATGTTTTTGGAACATTGAACAAAGCTGTTTGCAGTCTCCCTGTTTGAATGTCCACCTTGTGTTCTTTGATACTGTGATTTGAGGAACTATTTTCAAGAAAATAGTGTGTAATCTACTAGCAGGTAATTTCTTACTGTTATGGTTTTTTGTTTTGTTTTGTTTTGTAGTTCTGTATTGCGTGTACCCTTACGCTGCTTTGGTTTGTTTTGTGTTTTTCTCTTTTTCCTCTTAAATAAAAAAAAAAAAAAAAAAAGAAATAATTCAAGCTTTGAAAGATAACAACCTCCAGCCAAGATTGATATATCCTGCATAACTGTCCCTAGAAATTGATGGAAAAACAAGGTGCTTCCAGGATAAAGAGGAACTAGGGGAATTTGCAATCACTAATTCAACTCTACAGAGAATACTGCAGGATAATCTAAAAAAGGAAAATACCAAGATTCCAGAAATAGTGGCGGAGAAGCCGCAATGAATGGAGCAGAAAACGAAATGAAGAAGACAAACTGACAACAAACGACAGAAAAAGAGCTCAACAGAAATGAGGCAGAGAAGAACGGAAGGTAGGAACAGCTATTTTGGAGAAAACAAGACATCATAATAGCTAGTGCTGATTTACTATCATCTTGTTTTGAAGTCCCATCAAACTTGTATTCTTCTGTCTCCATCAGTCTTAAAAGGTTGTATCTTGTTGGATTTTATTATATATGATAATATAAGCAAAAACTTTTATAGACAAGGAGTTTATATAGAAACCATTGTTCATTTTCTGTTAATTGGTTCTAAATACTCTATAATAATGTCATTCTCTTGAATGGTTTTATAGTGTCTTGATATGTTTGGTGCTACAGTATACGAAGTTATACTCAAAGATTTCAGGGAAAGAGACACTATTATAACTATTTTTATGTCAGGATATCTTGTGGTGAAACACTGTTTTGCTCAAATGGTTATGATTTGACCTGCGCTGTTCTGTTGTTATGCCCTCTTTTATCTCAATCCCCCTTTTTAAAATTATTTACTTTTTTCTTTTTATTTTTTTAATTAAGGGAAAAATAAATAAAAAAATAGCAGGATACATTATAGTAACCTACTTTGATTTCCTATTAACTTGATTTGAAATCCTGTATTGCCCTCACCATCTTGTTTTTGACTGATTTTCCTTTATTCTGCTTTGCTTGATAGTACCAAGTTCGAAAGTATAGGCATAACTGTGAAGACAATAAGAATCTTTATGATGCCCATTCCAGTTGACTATTATTTTCTTTTAAAATCCTGTAATGTCTCCAATGCTTTGGTTTTATTCTTTACTGTTTAGTTCAATTTTATTATAAATGCCAATTCTTCTTAAAATAGCAAGAGGCAGTATGGTAATCATTGTTGATCACTTTATATTTTGTTTTTACATTATCTATTATGTCCATCCTTTTGATTTGACTGACTCTGTTCTGATATGTCGCATTTGGTTTTACTCTCTTCAAAAAAAGTAATAAGAACTGTGGGAGTAATAAAACCCAAAATGTGTAACTGTCATTGTATAAAATAAAAGAAAAGAAAGTGCTCTAAAGGTATAACTGCATATATATTTAAGTGTATAAGATAGATAACCAAGTTACTGAGTGTTTTTTGGATCATTGAACAAAACTGTTTGCAGTCTCACTGTTTGAAAGTCCACTTTATATGCTTCCATTTTATAACTTGAACAACTATTTCTAAGATGAGAATATGTAATCTATTAACTAGTGATTTCTTACTGTTTATTTTTTAAATTTTGTATTACTTGAACCCTTTTTCTGTTTTTTTCCTTTTTCTCCTTAAATAAAAAAGAAAGAAAAAGAAAAAAAAACCAAATTGTGCTGCTATAAACATGGGTGCACATATATCACTGTGGTATGATGTTTTCATTTCTTCTGGGAATATGCCTAGAAGTGGAATAGCTGGGTCAAATGGGACTTCCAATCCCAGCTTTTTGAAGAATCTCCAGACTGATCTCCACAGTGGTTGCACCAGTCTACACTCCCACCAACAGTGCTCCTTTTTCCCCACAGCCTCTCCAGCATTTGTTGTTGGTGGTTTTCTCGATCCTGGCCATTCTTTCTGGAATGAGATGGAGTCTCAGTGTTGTTTTAATTGCATCTCTCTAATGAGTAATGATGATGAACATTTTTTCATGTATTTATTTGCCATTTTTATTTCTTCCTCTGAGAATTGTGTATTCATCTCAGATGCCCATTTTTGGATAGGGTCTTTGAATTTTTAAAAATTCTTTATATGTTTTAGACAGAAGTCCTTTGTCTGAGGGACAGTTCACTAAGATTTTTTCCCAGTTTGTGGGTTTTCTTTTCACTATGCTGGAGTTTCTTTTGACATGCAGAAAGTTTTGAATAAGATGTGACCCCAGTTATTGATTCTGGGAAGTATTTCCCGTGCAGTTTGATTCCTGTTCATGAATTCTCTACCTACCCTTATATCTTCCAGATTTTTACCTAATTTTTCTTCCAACAGATTTAGTGTTTCTGTTTTAATATTCAGATCTTTGATCCATTTAGATTTTAATTTAGTACATGGAGATAGGCATGAGTCTAGTTTTAGTTTTTGGCATATGGAGAGCCAGTTTTTCCAACACCATTTATTAAAGAGACTGTGTTTCTTCCAGTGAACATGTTTGGCCCCTTTATCAATGGTAAGTTGATTGACTGTGTTGGTAGTTGTGGTTGTATCTTCTAATCTATTCTGTTGATCTTCAGATCTGTTTTTATTCTAGTACCATGTTGATTTTATTACAGTAGCTTTGTAGTATAACATCAAGTCAGGGATTGTGATGCCTCCTGCCTTACCTTTGCTTCATAGAATTCCCTTTGCTATTCTAGGTCTCTTCTGGTTCCAGATGAATTTTAGGAGTGATATCTCTAGATCTATGAGGTATGTTGATGGTATTTTTATTGGGAATTGCATTGAATCTGTATAACAGTTTTGGGAGAATGGTCATTTTCACAATATTTATTCTTCCTATCCATGAACAAGGGATGTCTTTCATGGAGTCTCTTTTAGTCTTGTTTATATTGTCTCGTATGACTCCAGAGTGAGTGGTAAACAGCAGGCCACTCCTAATAGACAACCTCTTTTATAAACAACAAATATAGGCCTTTATGATTTTGGAGAACCATTTTAGCCAAAGAGCCTAGTGACTCCTCTCGTTTAGATGCTGAATGCTCCAAAGCCGTTAGATCTTTATCTATGAGAGTGGTCAACGCACGGTAATTTTTGTTACCAACTATTAAACTTGCAGTCCCTAAACTTGCAGTCCATATTAAACTTGCAGCTCCAGACAGACCCAACTCCATAAAGATTGGGATTAAATCAGGAGCTGCTCAAGGTAACTGAAAAAGATCTGACTCAAGATTTAGGTGTTCTCGTCTACTTGTACCTGAATACCAGTAAGCCTGAGGACCAAAATGGACCAAAATGCAAAGCTCAGTTTGTCTAGTAAAGACATCTAACATGATGCAAGGAGTTAATCCTGAGATACAAGCAAACCATAATCCTTTTGGGAGCCTCTAAATGTTGGTCTGATGAATACAAAACATTTGTTACCACAGTAGGGTTAAGGCAGAGGTTGTGGCAGGGGCTAAAGTTGAGGTCACTGGTATCAGATCGGATGCAAGTTCCGTTTCCTTGAATATTCCCTAGAGTTAGGACAGGTTTTTGTCCCCACCAACAAGGGGAGTTCGTGTCCAAGTTGGAGGAATTTTGGATCTGGAAAGAGGCATTTGAACCAACGGATGCTTGTAGAGTCACCCCTATGAAAAGGGTGGTTTTGGGTATAACCATAGGCAGCAATCCTGGGTGAGATTGGGATTGCTATGGTTGAGACATTGAAACATTATGTCCAAAGGACTATGCAGGTCAGAAACAGACTGAGAGGGTTGCGGAGGTGAGGGACTATTTAAACTGGTTGTAAATGTAGCAATAGGAGGCGGATTGGGATTTGTCCTAAGAGGGAGGAGGTGGGGCCAGTGGTCCAATAGCTGGCCCAGTAGTCCAATCAGTGGCCCACTTCCTATTAATATGGAAGACTGTTCCTTGGTTATATCCAGACACATAAAGTTGAATGCCCCAAGTTCCCGCCACCCCCTGTCATGAGTAATAGTGGACTTGTTTAAAGTTAAACATAAGGGGATTGCAATTTTGGGAACCACAGTTTGGTTTTGAGGATATTTTGAGATCAATGAAAAGATCATTACTTTCCCATGGAGAAATGTATTCCCATTCCCAGTAGTTACAATAGAATTGATTATATCCCTCACAGAGTTCATTAAGGTGAGGGTTTTTAGATGGCTGTTCTTGGGGACAAACATAAAACTGTATATTCTGTAGATGTGGTCATCCCTTAGAACTATGGCAGTCATACACATCCTCAGATTTGCCTCTAATTTGGGATGAAGCTCATTTATTACTGATTCACAAATTGGCAGAGCTCATTGTGGAGAACTGGCCACCCATGATGTTACATAGGTCTGTAACCAGGACAGCATGGAGAGTAGTATTTTTAGCTATAAGATATCCTGTTATGGCATTTGTTATTTCTCAGATGTAAAGGGGTGGGTCATATTCAAGGGACAGTGTAACCATTGTCTAACAAGTAAGAGAAACCAACATTATCAGGAACATTTTGACAGTTTGAATTTCAGGGGATGTTCAGTCCGAGTAACAGTCCACTTATCTATATACTAGGTATCCAGAGAGAGGACCTTGATGTATGAGTGATGCATCTGGGTGGGTTTTCTGGCCAATTTGAGAGCTGTGGGAGTGCTGAGAACAATGTATGGTCCAGTCCAACATGGTTCAAGGGAAGAGTTGCAAGAAGGGCGTTTGAGCAGCACTTAATCTGGGCTTGCGGCCAGAGGGGTCTCTGGTGCATGTGGCTTGGTTTGGTAGTCTCAGAAGAGTTGGTAGATGGAAGTCAGCACAGGTTAAAGAGTCTGTAGGGACTTAAACTGTGGTTAGCAGTCTCTGCCAAATGAGTACTATCAAGATGGGGGACAAGCGGTGGCAGTCTCCTATGGACTGCCTCAAAAGGGGTTATTCCATTTATATATGGAATACAACACGTGCAGGAGGGCAAAAGGAAGGAGACTTATCCAGTTTTCACTAGACTCCAAAATCAATTTGCTAAGCATTTCTTTTAGAGTTTGGTTCATCCTTTCAACTTGACCTGAACTTTGGGGATGGTAGGCACAGTGAAATTTCCAATCAATCTGTAGTAACTGAGCAACTTTATTAGTGATGGAAGCTATGAAAGCTGGGCCATTGTCAGACCTCCTGGATAAGGGAAGGCCAAACCTAGGAATTTCATATAAAAGCTTTCTGACAACAATTGAGGTCGATTCAGTCTTTGTTGTGTATACCTCAGCCCATCCAGTGAAGGTGTCCTCCAAAACCAGCAAATACTTATGTCCATGCAATCCTGGTCTTCCCATGTCTGTAAAATCAATTTCTCAGTGTTCTCTTGGAAAGATTCCCCAGTATTGAATTCTCTCTGTGATAGTGGTGGCTTTGGTATTTACTTGTAGACATTGTGGGGATCTTTGACTGACTCCTTTTGCCAATTGAGTCAGCTTAGGAATGAAGTGCCTGTTCTGAAGAACTCAGCCAATTTTGAGCCTCCTAGGTGTGAGGCCTGGTGGATTTGAAGAGTCAAATCTCTTTCCAGGGCAGCGGGTATTAAAATTCATCTGTCTGGCAATTGGAACCAATTTTTGGGGATCTCTTGTTTTTCTCTCAGTTGTCTAGCTAGCTGTTTATCTGACTTGGAATATACCAATTGGGGCAAACAAGGGGATGGCAGAACTGGCAGCACATGGGCTGTAGGCTGTACAGATGACTTTAGAGCTGCCTCTCGAGCACTCCTGTCAGTGAGTGTGTTTCCTATCAAGAATGGATCTTTTTCCATTTGGTGGCCCCTGCAATGCAACACTGCTATAGATTTAGGGAGCCAGACAGCGGCTAACAAGTCCAGGATATAAGGAGCGTTCTTAATCTTTGAACCAGTAGAGGTTAGGAGCGGCCTCTCGTGGTAGATTGCTCCATGTACATGAACGGTAGCAAAATCCTAACAGCTATCTGTGATAGTTACCCTTAGATCCTTAGCCAACTTTAGGTTCTCTATGAAGGTAATGAGTTTGGCCCTTTGAGTGGAGGTGCCTTGATTCATGGGTTGGGCCTAAATTACATGTGTGTGAGGGGTTACGGCCACCCCTGCCACCCGTTTACCTTGAAAGAGGAAGCTGCTACCATCAATGAAATATTTAACCTTTGGATTCTCTAATGGGAGATCAGTAGGGTCTTAACGAAGACTGGGAGTGGTAGAGAGCAAGTCCATGCAATCATGGATGGGTACCTCTGGGTCATCATCTAGCAGCAGAGTTGCTGAGTTTAAAATGGTAGTCTCCTTGAATTCAATAAGGTCAGAGTTAGACAAGAGGGCCTGGTATTGTACAGTCCTCACATTTGAGAGCCATTTATCGGGGTGGGGGGGGCCCTGAGGAGGGTTTCAATTGCATGAGGCACCACAATCTGGAGTTTCTGTCCAAAGGTTAGTTTATTTGCCTCTTTTACTATTAAGGCAGTAGCCACGGTGGCTTGGAGGCAAATTAGGCCAGCCCAAGGAAACTTAGTCCAGTCTTTTTGAGAGATATGAGACTGGGTGGTGCCATGGTCCCAACATTTGAGTTAGTACCCCCTTGGCTATTCCTCGTTGTTCTGCAACAAGCAGCATGAAGAGTTTAGTCAGATCCAGCAAGGCCAATGCTGGAGCTTGGGCAAGGGTGCTTTTAGTTTTTGAAATGCTTAGTTTTTCCTCTCAGTCCAAATGGGTGGGTCAGAAGGGGCTCCTCCAGTTGCAGCATGAAGTGATTGTGCCAGCTCAGCAAAGTACAGTATCTAAGTCCAGGAAATCTATGGGTTGCCCCAAGCCCAGTTAAGGTTACCCGGGGCTCAGGGGGAGCAGATGAACCCTGAAATTGTCAATCTTTTTTCAATAGGACCCAAGGGGTAGTTTCCCTTTTTTCCAATTTGGCCTTTAACTTTGGACAATTCTTTTTCCAATGGCCCAATTCTTTGTAATACGCACACTGATTCTTGTCTAGCAGGGTCTTTGTTTGTTGGTCCTTCCTTTTTTGCCTGGAGTATGTCCTTATGCTAGTACAGCCAAGATCTTGGTTAATTTTTTTTTTCTTATGGGTCTTCCCTGTTGTCAAAAAACCTGTTGGGCTATCTCTATCAACTGGCCTGTCATCATCCCTGCTTCTGGGCAGCAGCTCGAAGTGCCACAAGAAGAGTCTGATGACACTGATCGAGAGCCTCCTTACCTCCATCTGTGTTAGGGTCCCAGTTGGGGCAGGTCAAAGGGAAAACAGCATTGAGCCTCTTTAGATCTGAAGTGGGCTCCCTGTTAGTGTCAAGGACAGATCGTCACTCCAAGGTGTGGATTTGTTCACATTCCTCAGATGTGAAGAGAGTCTGCAAAAGCTGTTGGCAGTCATCCCGGGTAGGCTGATGAGTGAAACAAATTGTCTCAAGGAGCGATATTAGAGCCTGACGGTCCTTAGAGAAAGGCAGATTCTATAATTTCCAGTTGTACAAATCACTGGTAGAAAAGGGGACATAGGTAAAGAAGGATCCCTGAGAGGAGTCTGATGGAGGGACTTCTCAAAAGGGTTGATGGAGGGTAGGTCAGTGGAGTCAGGCCTGGGTGCAGAGGAGGGTGGTTGCGGACAATGGCTTCGAGTACAGGGTGGACTGGGAGGGGTAAGGGTCCATGAGGAGGGTTTGATGAGCTTGGGAAATCAGGGAAGTAGGAAGGGGTCCAGGAAAGAGGTGGGGAATCATCAGGAGGAGGCAGGAGGAGGTGACACCTTACC